CAAAAAACGTGGATGTGGCTCTTGGGGACACGGTTTAGTGGTGGCCTTGGCAGTGCTGGGTTGATGGTTGGGCTCCAGGATCTCAGAGGGCTTTTCCAAGCTGAACAATGCCATGATTCCATGGCTCTGAGGATTTCACATCACCCCCAGCTCCCCACAGGGACCAAAAACCTCAACAAACCCTGGCAAAGGCATCAAGCCCACAGCCTCTCCCATTCCAGCTCCTCTCCAGCCCCACTGGCTGACCCGAGGAGGGGACAAAAATCAGGGAACAGGGACAAACACTGGCACAAGTTTCCTTTCCTGCTCCACCAAGGACAGAATTACCCAAAAATTGGTTCTGTGCAGGGCCAGGGGTTGGAGCTGCTGATCTTTGTGGGTCTCCTGCAGCTCAGCCCATCCCATGGATAAAACCCAGCCTGGAGTTGACTCTCCTCGATGGGAATCAGGACAAGCCCATCTAAACCTGGCTTAAAACAGAGCCAGGACAGAGTGGGGACCCCAAAACTGCAGCTGAGCAGGAGACACCTCCTCCACGGGGCAGCAGCAGTGCCAGCAATCCATGGGAATCCTCCCCAAATCAGGAGGGAAGCTTTGTTTTCTCTGCCGCTCACCCATCACATCCCCGTGCTGCAGAGCAATCCCGGCTGTCAAACTTAATGCAGCAGAAAAACCCCAGCTTTATAAAAAACCCCAAGTTTATATCCTAAAGCGCAGGGGGAAGCCCTTCCTGGCTCTGTTCTGCAGGAATTAGCCCGTTCCAACCTGGGAAAGTTGCATTCCTGCCCCATGTCGGTTTTCACGGCCCATTTGCTTCAATTTCCCTCCCTCCACAACTCCAGGAGCTGGAAAAATGTGGGGACAGAGTGGATTTGGGAGGAGCTGGGAGCTGCTCGGAGCTGGGAGAGGATGGGGAAGGGGAAAAGTAGAAGATGAGAGAAAAGCTCCGAGGGAATATTTGGAGAGGAATTAACGAGAAGGCGGCGTTGGGCTGGGGAGAGGACGTGGGTGGGGTGGAGGAAGGGTCAGGCCCGGCCATCCATCCATCCCCACCCGCACCTGAGCAGGATCAGGCTCCTCTCCTCTCCTGAGGTGGAGCAGTTTGGGCGTCCAGGTCATCCACAGAGCTGAACTGGCTGCCCCAGAGCCAGGAGCAGGAAATGACCCCAAAAAATGAGCCAAGGGACGTGGTCCTCACACAGGACCCCTGACAGCTTCTCTTCAGCAGTGACCAGGACAAGGTCTGTCGGAATCTGTGCTATTGATGATTCTGAGATTGTAAAAGTCTCTGTCTGTCAGCCCCCTGCCAAAGCAGAAGCCATAATTGGTCTGTGCTGTTTCAAGGTTGTTTATTCTGTTTATCTCTAACATGTTCTGCTGCCCTGCCGCAGCTCTGTCCTGCAGGGCAGCGTGTGGGGCTCTGCCCTCAGTGGGATGGTACAAACATTAAATACCACAAACTACCTGTGCTGGATTTACAATAACGTGCCAATATCTGTCACCTACGTTGGACAGTGTGTCCCCAGCCTGAACCAACAGAAAAATGCCAACACCACAGTGAAACATGGAGGGCATGAAGAAGGAGGAAAAGGACAAGACACACCCAATTTCCTTCATCTTGTCCCCTTTGGACCCCTCATCTGTATGTTGGTGTATGTTGAAACCCGATTTACACGTAAAAGGATGTGGCTCGGCCAGGAGATGGGACATGTCTGGAGAGATACAGGGGGGACCCCAGGTGCTGATCATCATGTGAATGACCCGAGATGGATATCATGGACCTGAGATGGATATCATGGACCAGAGATGGATATCATGGACCTGAGATGGATATCATGGATGTGGGATGGATATCATGGACCCGAGATGGATATCACAGACCCCAGATGAATCTCATGGAAATCCTCAGGCAGATCCATGGGAATGCAGTGTTCCCATAAATTTCATCAAGGGATTCACCAACTCCTAACACTGAATTGTTCTTCTTCATCACCAAAAAGGAAAATCTTATTAACCTATGGACTCTGAATAGAAGAAAAGACTGACTGCTGAAATCTTGGCCTCAGGTGGAATTTTCCCTATAAAAACCTCTTGTGCCAGGATGGAGATGTGTGGGCATGGAGGAAACCTCTGCTGAGGCTGACTCCTGGTGCCGACCCCGGGCTCGGCTCTGCTCTTTCCTTGTGGCTGGCTAGATAGAATTGGATTGCAAAATAAATATTTTATTTTTCATATTAATTTGGCTGGACAAATTTTCATTTATAACACTAGAGAAACTGAAAACAGCAGGAACTTGCAAAATCTGCATCCTGCACGGCCAGCCCCACCCGAGCAGGTGTGGCAGCAGCCAAGGACCGGGATCTCCTCACCAGGGCGACCTCACACCAAACAATCCCCGCCCGAGGCAGGCTCAGCCAAACCACCCCAAACCACCCCAAACCACCCCAAACCACCCCAAACCTCCCCTGTTTCTGCTTTTCCCGGGATTCTCCTGCCCAGGGATGTCCGAGGGGCCAGGGGAGGGAGGATTTGCTGCTGATCACCAGGCTGGGGGTGAAGTTTGGCTCGTGGTGAGATGTAAACAACCCCGGAGCAGGTCAGACCCTGGTGGCCCCTGAGCACGAGTGCTTTCGCTTGGAATAAACACCAGCCTGGGTCAGCGCCACAATCTCTCCCAGATGCTTTTGGGGGCCTGATTTAAAACTTCAAATCTAAAGTTGGGGGGGTCAAATAACCCCCACCCACTGCTTTGTCTCTCCAGAGCCAATTTTCACCCCCGAAACACCACCCAAGGATGGTTCCTCCAGGAGGTGGCCGTGGTTCTGCTCCTCCACAGTCCCAGGCTGCTCCAAAGCCCATCCAGCCTGGCCTTGGACACTCCCAGGGATTTCCCAAAGCCTGGACTGTGCGAACAGCCGCTCTGGCCTTTAGGGATTCAATTAAAAAATTAGGAAATTCAAGATTTTTCCTCTTTAGGCCAACCCAGAATGAAACCTTCCCATTCGTCCCAGCAAAATATTTTTCTTTTTTTTTCAAATTGTGTCAATGAACACATCTTGTTCTCCCCAGAATAAAACATTTCTGGGTTTGCAAATGCATCTTTGAAGGCTCTTGTGGTCCCCTGCTTTTTTTAATTAAAGGCAGGCAGATTTCAACTGGGAAATGCCACGGCTCAATAAAAGGCAAAGCGTTTAATTTCAAGCATATCTCAAACAAAGCTGCAGCTTTTCATCCCCAAAATACTCCTTTTGGTTTTGCTTCAAAGTTGTAAATAATTGCAAAGGACCCAAAATAGCTTTTATTTTCCTTGCAACAAATGTTTCATCTTAATTTCAGCGTGCCAAGCTTCCAGTGATGGGAGCCAGGCTCTTCCCAGAGGTGCCCAGTGAGTGGACAAGAGGCCAGGGCATGAGTGGAGACCCGGAAATTCCCTTTAAACAGGGAAATTTTATGTTTTAGGGTTTATTGGGGGTTTTTTGTTGTTGTTTTTTGTTTGGTTTTTGTTTGTTTTGTTTTGTTTTGTTTTGTTTTGTTTTGTTTTGTTTTTTACTTCAGGGTGGCCAAATGCTGGAGCAGATTGGGCAGGGCAGTTGTGGAGTCTCCATCCTTGGAGAGAATCAACTCCTGACCTGGAGGAGGGAGCCCACGGGGAAGTCATGAGGGTCAACAAGAACCTTCCAGAACCCAAAGGGGCTCCAGGAGCGCTGGAGAGGGATTTGGGATGAGGGATGGAGGGACAGCACCCAGGGAATGGCTCCCACTGCCAGAGGGCAGGATGGGTGGGAGATTGGGATGGAATTCCAGGCTGGGACGGGGGTGAGGCGCTGGGATGGCATTCCCAGAGCAGCCGTGGCTGCCCCTGGATCCCCGGCAGTGCCCAGGGCCAGGCTGGAGCACCCTGGGACACTGGAGGTGTCCCTTTCCACCCAAACCAGTCTGGAATTCTGGAATATCGGCTGTCGGAAAAGCCACCCGAGCCTGCCTTTAAGGAGCAGCAGATTGCGGTTTGGGGAAATTCGCAATTCCTGCTTTTCCCTTGGAGAAATCCCGCGGGAATTTTTTTTTCTTTTTTTTTCCCCTGCATCCATCTCCTGGTGCGCGGGGACCTCTGCAGCCCGAGCCGCGCATCGCCCGCGGCGGGGAGGGATCCACGGCGGGGAGGGATCCACTGGGATGGATCCACGGAAAGGAGGGAGCCACGGGAGGGATCCATGGAGGGAAGGGATCCACTGGGATGGATCCACGGCAAGGAGGGAGCCACGGCTGGGAAGGGATCCTCGGCAGGGAGGGATTCATGGGAGGGAGGGATCCACTGGGATGGATCCACAGCTGGGATGGATCCACAGCTGGGATGGATCCGCAGCTGGGAGGGATCCATGGCAGGGATGGATCCATGGCAAGGATGGATCCATGGCCGGAATGGATCCATGGCTGGGATGGATCAATGGCAGGGATGGATTCACAGCTGGGATGGATCTGCTGGGATGGATCCACAGCCAGGAGGGATGGATGGCAGGGAGGGATCCACAGCTGGGATAGATCCATGGCAGGGATGGATCTGCTGGGATGGATCCCTTGGAATGGATCCACAGCAAGGATAGATCCATGGCCGGGATGGATCCCCCCCCAGGATGGATCCCCCGGGATGGATCCCCTGGGATGGATCCCCGGGATGGATCCCCCGGGATGGATCCCCCGGGATGGATCCCGGGATGGATCCCCCTCCAGGATGGATACCCCGGGATGGATCCCCTGCCGGGATGGATCCCCCGGGATGGATCCCCCGGGATGGATCCCCCGCCCTCCCGCGGCTCCGGAGCCGCTCCAAGAGCCGCTGCCATCCCAGATTTCTGAGGCAGAAATGGAATTCAGGGGCTCTGGGTCGCTTTGGAGTGTCCCCATCAGCACCGCCTGAAAATGAGCAGCAAATCCAGGGAAATAAAAGCAGGATGCGCCCATGGAGCATTTCCCTTCAGTTCGGGAAAAAAACCGCTCTCAGGTAACACAGAAACGATTTATTCCAAGGGAAAGTGCATGTGGAGGAGAGAAAAACTGGGAAAAGGTAAAAAGAGCTGCTTGGGGAAGCAGCCGGCACCGGGAGGGCTCCGGTCCTGCCCCAGCCTCTCCCTCGCCTGGTGCTGCCCCTCCGGAGCGGCAGGAGCCGGGCTTGGCACGGAATTCCCGGGATGGCAGCGCTGGGAAAGCCCCTCGGTGCAGTGGGCACAGCTCGGCAGCCCTGAGGAAAGCGGAGCCCCAAAAAGAACATTTTCCCTGGCAGAAGGAGTGGGGCACTGCCAGCCGCCGGCAGATGGCATTCCCAGCCTGGCACATCCAGCGGCTGCTCCCCTGTGCCCAAATCCCAAACCCCACATCCCAGGGCACATTTGACATTTCTCATGGAATGATGCACCTAAATCCCAAATCCCAAATCCTACATCCCACAGCCCAGGGCACCTTTGACATTTCTCATGGAATGATGCACCTAAATCCCAAATCCCAAATCCTACATCCCACAGCCCAGGGCACCTTTCACGTTTCTCATGGAATGATGCACCCAAACCCCACATCCCAGAGCACATTTGACATTTCTCATGGCATGATGCACCCAAATCCCAAACCCCACATCCCAGAGCACCTTTCTCAGGGAATGATGCACCCAAACCCCAAATCCCACATCCCACATCCCCTTTCTCATGGAATGATGCACCCAAACCCCACATCCCACATCCCACATCCCCTTTCTCATGGAATGATCACCCAAATCCCACATCCCAAATCCCAGAGCACCTTTCTCATGGAATGATCACCCAAATCCCACATCCCAAATCCCAGAGCACCTTTCTCAGGGAATGATCACCCAAATCCCACATCCCACATCCCACATCCCAGGGCCCCTTTCTCATGGAATGATGCACCCAAACCCCAAATCCCACATCCCAGAGCACCTTTCTCATGGAATGATCACCCAAACCCCCCCTCAGGAGCAGCTCTGCCGCTGCCGGGCATCCCGGGGAACGCTGCGAGCGGAGGCTGTGCCCATCCCCGGCAGCTCCATCCGCCCACCCGGGCACGGATTTGGAGCCTGGCATCCAATTGGAGCGGCGCTGGCACCGGGAGGGCTCCTCTCCCCTCCCTCCCCTCCCTCCCCTCCCCTCCCTCCTCCAGACCCCCCTGGCCGCCCTCTCCCACAAAAGCAGCGAATTAACCGACTGAGGGGAAAACCACCCCAAAATCCCTGGGAGGGGAGGGAAGGAGGAGGCCGAGGGGGAGCAGCAGCCATGGCAGAGCACAAATAACGCCCTGCACCCATCGCTGCCCGCAGATGCATCCCCCGACCCCTCCGTGCGCATCCCCATGCAGGGGCCGCAGCTGCTGAGCTGCATCCAGCGGGAGGAGGAGGAGGAATGCCGGGCTGGCAGGGCGGCAGCATCGCCTTTGTTCCCCTCTGAGCACCAGCAGCGGTGAGTAAGGCTCGGGAATTCTCCGTTGTCTTCTCCTTTTCTTCTCCTTCTCCTTTTCTTCTCCCTCCATGATGCCCGCGGTGCTGGCACGGAGCAGCTGCCGGCGGTGGGGAGGGGGGGGAAAATTGGATTTTTCCAGAGCCTGGAGGTGTCTGGTGTGGGGAAGGCAGGAATGGAGCCAGATGTGGCTGTGGGTCCTGGGAATGCCACCCCGGGAATGTCAGCCCCGGGAATGCCACACCGGCAATGCCACCCCGGGAATGTCAGCCCCGGGAATGCCACCCCGGGAATGCCACCCAGGGAATGCCAGCCCCGGGAATGCCAGCCCCGGGAATGCCACCCCGGGAATGTCAGCCCTGGGAATGCCACCCCGGGAATGCCAGCCCCAGGAATACCACCCCGGGATGCCAGCCCCAGGAATGCCAGCCCCGGCAATGCCAGCAGGGATGGAGGCAGCCCTGCAGTGTGATGCCAGCGCCCGGGATGCAGAGGGATGCTGGATTCACTCAGCTTCATCCCTTTAAGGCCCACACAGCCGCATTTATCTCCCCCAGGTCACGCCCAGCCGCCAAAAGCAGCAGGAAAAAAACCCTGGGAAGAGCTGGGCAGAGTCTGTTCATGGGGATGGACAGAGCAGCCCCGGGAACCACCCCAGACCCCTCATCCTAAAAAAAAATATAAAAATTGTTCTTAAATGTTCCCACGCAGCCAGTGCCTGGAATAATCCCGGTGTGAGGCTGAGCTCAGGGGAACAGCCCAGCCCAGCCCACCCTGCAGGGGCTGCGTTGGTGCTGGATCCCCCTGAGGCTGTTCCAGAGCAGATCCGACCCGGCCTCGTTCCCTCGGGGCAGGATCCGGCTGGGAATGGGGTGTCTGCTCTCCCTGACATCCAGCACTGCTCCTAAATCCTGAGCTGGGCTTTGCTGGGAGCTGCAGGCCCAAGGAATTGGGTATAAAGGTTTGGATTTCTCTGATTGGCAGCAGGAACCTTTCAGTGAAGAAAAAAAAGTTATATATATATATATATATGTATGCATGTATCTATGGTTCTAAGGGCCCCTGGGGTTCAGTGTGGGTGGAATGCAGGATTATGCAGGATTCCTGGATCTGAACTTGTTCCCAAAGTGCAGGAGAAAGGCCAGACTGGAGCACAGCCCCAGCCCTGCCTTCAGCTGAGCTGCTCCAGGGGTTTGGAGTCTGCTTTGGATCCCCCGGAGCGAGGCAGGAACGGGATTCCTCAGGGCTGGGAAGGATGGGAAGGCAGGAACAGGATTCCTCAGGGCTGGGAAGGATGGGAAGGCAGGAACCGGATTCCTCAGGGCTGGGAAGGATGGGAAGGACACCCCTGGCTGTCCTCATCCTCCCCACATCCCGTGGGGGCAGCAGGGGCAGGGATCTCTGTGCAGAGCCAGGGCTGGCTCCTTCCATCCCACCCAGAAATGCGGGATCTGGGAATGTCCCCGGGCTGCCCTCCCCTCTCCCCCAGCAGAGAGGGGCTGAGGAGGAGATGGGCACCGAGGGAGAGGCAGGAAGGGGAGAAGCTGTGGGATGTCAGTGCTGCTCCCAAGGGAGAGGAGCTGGGCTCCATCCAGACCCCCAGCTCTGCGCCAGGGCCACCCTCCCCTCCTCCTCCTGCCCCAAAATGTGCCAAGAATCCGGAATTTCACTGCTTTTCCCAAACAAGCCCGCTCTCACACTGCTTTTCCAAGGCTGCTCCCACCTCTCTGCCTCCCCTTTCCAGGCTGAGCCCTTCCTGTGGGATCTGCTGGCTCCAGCCCCTCCCCGAGGGCCATGGGCACCACGGAGGCCACGCTGCGCATGGAGAACGTGGATGTGAAGGAGGAGTGGCAAGACGAGGACTTCCCCAGGTGTGTTCCCCGAAAAGCAAAAACAAAACCAGGAGAATTTTAATTTCATTCTAATTTTTTTTTCCTATGAGAAACCATCAGAGTGGGAGGGTCCATCTCGAGGCCTCAGAGGCAACGGGAGCCTGAACTCCAACAGGGGATCAGAAGTTTTGGGGCTGCTCCGAGTGCATCAAAAATTTGGGGATGTTTTTGGCAGCCCTGTGTGGGAGGGAAAGGAGCTGGGTGTGGAGCACAGGGAGATTAGGATGGATAGAGGGACCCACAAAGGGATGGAGGGTGGATGGATGCACGTGGGAGTGGATTTATGGATTTGTGGAGTCCTTCCCAGGTGCTGAACCGAGCAGAGTCCCAAACAGAGCAGAGCTGCTGTGCCAGGAATTTCCCATTGGGATGCAACAAATCCCAGTGGGAAAGGAGGTGTGGGGGTGACAGGAGGTGCCAAAGTGGCACCTTCCACCTTCGGATCCACCTCAGCAGCTGCACAGAGGTGCCAAAACCCATCCCCACCCCAATCCCACTTCCAGGGTGAATCCCCAGCACCCACCCCCATTCCCAGCTCGTTCCTGCTCCAGGCTGCCCAGGGCAGGGGTGGATTCTCCCTCTCTGGAGACATTCCAAGCCCACCTGGATCCCCCCTGCTCCAGGTGACCCTGCTGGGGTGACACTGGGGGATCTCTGCCAGCGCTGCCAGTCTGGGATGGGGCTCTGAGTGCCGCTGGGCAGCCCCTGGCACAGCTGCAGGAGCGCGGGGGCTCTCGGGGCTGGCCCGGCCCCTGCAGCTGCAGCCACGGAGCGCCAGAATTCCCAGGCACGGAGAAAGGGGCTGCTGTTCCCCGGGACAAGCCCGGCTCTTTGATGCCAGCTCCAGCTGCATCCCCGTGTGAGCCCCTCTGTGCTGCACCACAGCACGGGGTTTGTCCTTCCGCTGCCTCCCGGGGGGCTCAGCCAGCCCCGGCCTGACCAGCGGGATGGAATTCCCTCAGAGAGCCGAGCTGGTGGATCTCAGCCAGCATCGGCACCCTGGATTCTCAGGGAGCAAAGGGAGAGAGAAATGCGGGAAAGAAAGGGAGGGATGGATGGAAAAGGGATGGATGGATGGATGGACGGATGATGGATGATGGATGGATGATGGATGGATGATGGATGGATGGATGATGGATGGATGATGGATGATGGATGGATGGATGGATGGATGGATGGATGATGGATGGATGGATGGATGATGGATGGATGATGGATGGATGGATGGATGGATGATGGATGGATGGATGGATGGATGGATGATGGATGGATGGATGGATGGATGGATGGATGGATGGATGGATGATGGATGGATGGATGATGGATGGATGGATGGATGGATGGATGGATGGATGGATGGATGGATGGATGGATGAATGGATGGGAATCATGGCACGGTTTGGGTTGGAAGTGACCTCAAAACTCATCTCCCTTCTAACAGTGGGGATTCCTTCCAGCAGACCAGGCTGCTCAGAGGACAGAGACAGGAAATCACGGTGTCAAAAGGAAAACATTGTCCCAGAGCTCCCCAGAAACTCCAGGATACAGCTGGTCTGGCTGTGGGACACCTCAGCAGCAGCCCAGGATCACCTGGGAGCTCTGTCCCACACTGGCCATGCCAGCAGCAAACTCCACGGCTCAGCTTTCCAGGGGAATTTCTCCTGGAAATCCCCCAGCACCACCAAAACACCCTGGAAATGAAGGCCGGGAAGGGGCAGAGGGATGTGAGCGGGGCCGGGATGAGGCCACAGCCCTCGGGAGGAGCCTCCTCCAGAGGGATTCCAGCAGGAATTATGCGAGACAGAGCCCAAACAGCCCCCAGGCAAACGAGGGAAAGCCAGCTGGGTTCTACTGGCAATAAAAATAAATAAATTGTCCTTTTCCAGCCGCTTCCCCGCTGGAAGCTTTGCAATAATAGGGCAGAAGCTGCTGCATGTGGGACAGCAGCTCTCCAGCAGCCCATTTGCTGCAGAGCTATTTTTTCCTGCCTGCCATTAGCCAATCTTGCCCCGAAAAGCAGGAAAAAAAAAAAAAAAAAAGGAAAAGCCACATCCTAGACAGAGCTAGACAGAGATCTGGGCCGGGCAAACAGAACCCAGCCGCTCCTTGGGGACACGGGGCGACATTCCCAGCGTTTCCCGGGAAGCCGAAGCGCGGCAGCAGCTCCGGCCCGGCCGAGGAGGAGCGGAGCGGGCGGATCCTCTGTGCTGCTGCCGCCGCCGGGGCTGATCCCGGCCCGGCCCGGCTGGCCCGGGGCGGGGATGCCGTAACCGAGGCGCGGGCGGCGCGGAGCGGGAGCATGCTCACTCCTGCATCCGTTCCTGCATCCCTTCCTGCATCCATTCCTGTATCCAGTGCTGCATCTATTCCTGCATCCGTTCCTGCATCCATTCCTGCATCCGTTCCTGCATCCATTCCTGCATCCATCGCTGCGTCCCTCCTGCATCCAGCGCTGCATCCTTCCCTTCATCCCTCCTGCATCCCTGCCTGCATCTCTCCTGCTGCATCCCTCTTGCATCCCTCCCGCTTCTCCCCTGCATCCCTCCTGCATCCCTCCTGCATCCCTCCTGCATCCCTCCTGCATCCCTGCCTGCATCTCTCCTCCTGCATCCCTCCTGCATCCCTGCCTGCAAAGCCCCCGGCCCTCGGGAAAAGCGCTGCGCCCCCCGAATTTGGCATCCGGGCAGGAGGATTCCCGCGGGCGGCGGTGATCGCAGCAGCCTCGGGGAAGGTAAGCCCGGCTTCTCCTCCTCCTCTGCCGGCCGGAGATGGATCCCGGGGCTGCCGCACGTACTCAGCCCCCTCCCCTCCCCTCCCGTGCCCTCCCCTCCCCGGCTGGATGCTGTGTCACCAAATCGTGCCAGGCGCCGGCTCCTGGCACAAACAACGCCAGGCCTCGGTGGGCACAGGGCAGGGGAGCTGGAGGGGCCAGAGGGATTTTTTTTTTGTTCTGTCATTCTGTGATTTTTTCCCACTGCTCCGGAGTGTCCGGGCGCCTGCACGTGCCTTTGATGGGATGCTCAGCCCTCATCAATATGCAGCGACCAGCAGCGGAGGATTATCCCTTAATCTACATATTTATAGGGTTTAATTTGGCTGGTGGCCCCGGTGTCATGGCAGCGGGAAGAGGAGCGGGGCAGAGCTGGGCTGGATCCTGTCCCTGTTGTCACCTCCCTGCCTGTGTCATGGGGCTCATCCTCATCCTCATCCTCATCCTCATCCTCATCCTCCTCCTTCAGATTCCTGGATTTGTCCCTGTTCCACCCAGGGTTGTCCCAGCAGCAGGATTTTAGCTCCTCCCTGGGCAGGGGGAGCTGCCGGGAAGGAACTGCCTTAAACAGGGATTTGACAACGTGGAACTGATAGAGTTGCTGGGGTTTGGTCAAGAAATGTCCAATGGAGGTAATTCCAGGGGACAGAACAAGTGCCACCTCCAATTAAGGGGAAAAACATTCAGGAGTGCCCAGGGTGAGGCTCAGCCACAGCGAAGGTTCCTCACACAGGTCAGATCCAAATTCCCACTTCTCTGAGCCCAGTGTGGGTCAGGAGCAGCTCCAGCAGCTGCCAAAGGGTGCCAGCCATGCCCTGGGGGTTGATTTTAACAGGGAAAACTCTTCAATCTGCTGATGCCTCCAGCTGGAGGGGCCGTGATTGGAGCCAGGAGGGTGCAGGGGCTGAGCATGAGGGGCTGCAAACCTCAGGAAAGGAGTGGTGGCTCCAAAATAGGAGCTGCAGTGCTGCTGCCTGGATTTTAGCATGGAATGGACCCAATCCCAAACCTCAGCAGGGGCTGAGGGGAGGATGAGGTGACAATCTGGGGTCACGGGGGGGGTCCCAAGCAGAGCCAACGCCAAGGAGCAGCTGATTCCTGGGGAAGGTGTTTGTGGATAAAGCTGTGATGGATGGGGATGAAATCGGGATAAAAACGTCCCTCCCTGTGGGCTGTGGCCATCCCACAGCACTGCCAGGGAACAGGATAAAGCCCTGAGCACAGGGGGTGCCCTCAGGGGGAGCCCCAGGGCCTGGAGCTGCCCCTCAGAGCTCCTACAGAGGAAAAAATGGGGATAACACAGAGGAGGAGAATGTTGCCAAGGTTGTCTGGGGTCAGGATTTGTTCCCTGGCTGGATTTTTCATCCCTTGGGATAGTTTGGAGGTCAGTGGGGTTGCAGATGCCAGGAGGGAAGCCCAGATCCTGAGCAAATCCCCTGAGGATGAGCTCAGGGTGAGGGAAGGGCAGAGCACAGGTGGGGCTGTGTGTTTTCCCTGCTGTCTCCATTCCCTCGGAATGATTTTCCCCTCAACTTCTCCTGCTCTCTGCTGTGCTTTGGTCCCTCTTATCCTGCAGGCCTCTCCCAGAGGAGACAGGGATGGAGTCACTGGGAAGCCCCACAGAAGACGAGACCACGTCCTGTAAGTACCAACTTCTCCAGAGCCCAGAGGAGCTGGCAGACAGGGAGAAAACCTCGGATTCTCAAAAAAAAAAACAAAACAAAAAACCCAAAAAAATACATATCCTCACGTGGGAGAAGAAACCAGCAGGGATTTGAAGTTGTTCATCTTTCCTGAGAAGCTGGGGGAGGAAACTGGGATCTCAGGGGTCTGGGCACTTCCATCCCAGCACCTCCCAGTCCTGAGGCAGCACCCTGAGGGCTCCAGATCCATATTCCATCATGGAATTACCCACGAGGATGCCTTGCTCTGATCCAGGAGGGCTCCAGACCCTTATTCCATCATGGAATTAGCCACAAGGATCCAGGAGGGCTCCAGACCCATATTCCATCATGGAATTACCCAGGAGGGCAGCACCGTCTGTTGGAATACCAGGCTCTTTCTTGTTCTAAGGTCAGGGTGAATAAAACTCAGGAGATGTTTTTGAAGTTTATTATCTTTATTTGTAACAAATTTACGAGATGTGAGCTCTAACAAGTCGAGAAGGTGAGATAGAATGTTGTTTATTCAAGGCTGTTTATTTAATAAACAGCTGATATTGGTATTATTGATGCTTCTAACCCAATTAACGTGAACATCTTTTACCTAATCAGAGAAAACCACTCAGATTCGTGAAGAAGAAGGAAGAAGTTGTAAAAAAGACACCCAAAATTTTCTACCTCAGCTTCTACACATTACTACACACTAAAATCTCAAATCTGAGGTGTTTTTTTTACCTTGTGAGATCACAACACTGCCCAAACTACACCCGCCCTGTCAGGTTTATTTTCCTTTCTCCCCCAGCTCCCCCCAACACTTTGAACTTTAACGGGGCCCATCGGAAGAGGAAGACTCTTGTTGCACCTGAAATCAACATTTCCCTGGACCAGAGCGAGGGCTCCATCCTCTCCGACGATTTCCTGGACACACCAGACGACCTGGACATCAACGTGGATGATATTGAAACCCCTGATGAGACCGATTCCCTCGAATTCCTGGGGAATGGCAACGAGCTGGAATGGGAAGGTAAAATTATGGTTCTGGGTGAATATTTCCAGGGGTTGGGGTGGTTTTTAGCCTCATTTTTAAAGATTTTTGACACCATTCACCACCAGCAGCTGAGGACTGAGAAGCAGAGGGAGATTTTAAAGTTATTTTGAAGTTGTTTCTATAATATTTGCAGCAAATAATTTAATCTTGCAACAGAGCAGGATTAAAACCTGGGTTATACTCTTGTCACCCTGATTCTTAAGATTTTTTTAAAGCCTTCTGAGTTTACATTCTGTTAGAAAACTTTCCCACACAATTTCTATAAACAACGTATTGTTTTGCATTCCTCAATGGGGGTGGAAAAACTTGATGTACTGGTGGTTTGTCCAATGTCTTTGGAGAGGTGGCACGTTCACTCTCCAATCTGCTGTCACCTTGGGAAAAGTATAAAAGTATAAAAGTATAAAAGTATAAAAGTATAAAAGTACAAAAGTATAAAAGTCAGAGAATAAACCTTCCTTCTCCTTTACCTTGCAAATAGCAAGTGGCTCCGTTGTGCTTTCACGTGTCCTACAGCAACACACTCTTTCCTGAATGCTCAGACAAATTCACACAACATCATTTTTCAAACTTATTGCGACTATTTTTCTGTGTTAATAAAAGAAAATCGATGAATAAATCCACCCAGGAGGTGAAACACGATCCGAGCATCACCCTTGGGGTTACCAAAGCCTTTCCCGACTTCTCCTGAAGGCAGAACTCTCTGTCCCTTCCCAGATGACACCCCCGTGGCCACGGCCAAGAACATGCCCGGGGACAGCGCAGACCTCTTTGGGGACGGGGGCACCGAGGATGGCAGTGCCACCAACGGCCGGCTCTGGAGAACCGTCATCATCGGCGAGCAGGAGCACCGGATCGACCTCCAGATGATCAAACCCTACATGAGAGTGGTGACACACGGCGGTGAGGCCACAGCCCCGCGGCTTTGTCCCTCTGTGTCACGCTGGAGGGGACCCCAAGGCTGGCTGGACCCTGTTGGGGGGAAAATATTTGGGGGTTTTGGTGCCTTTGCGTGGCAGAGAAGCATAAAAGTGCTCAGGTGGTGCTAAAAATTTTCAGTGATTGTGGAATTAACATCTGGAGGGGCTGTGCCAGTCCCTGAGGTGCTCCAGGGTCCACAGATGTGCAGTCAGATCTATTTCCAAAATGCCAGCAAAGCCAAGGAACAGCCAGCTTCAAAACCCCCAGATCCCTTCTCTGAACCCCAAACCCAGATTATAACCAAAACCAGGAGGAAATCTCACAGTGAAAGATGTCTGAAGAGAGAAACGCTCCCCTGGAGATGAGCAGAGACACAAAAACCACCCAGGGCCAAATTTCAGTGCTGTTTTCCCCTCAGCTGCCACATTTTCCCCGTTTTTTTCCCATTTTCCCATTTCACATTCACAGGAAAGCGTCACCTTTGTGGTTTTTTTGGCAGGATACTACGGAGAAGGTCTCAACGCCATCATCGTCTTTGCTGCCTGCTACCTCCCGGACAGCAACCTGGCTGATTATCACTACATCATGGAAAATCTCTTCCTGTGAGTGCCTGGGAGGGCTGAGGGGGTGGGAGTCCAGGGTGGCATCCCTGGCAGGTCTGGGACCCTGGCAGGGGTCAGGAACACCCCTGGGCAGAGCCCCCAGAGACACTGGCTGTGATCTCTGTCCATGGAAAAGAGTTTTCAATCTTACAGGATGAATTACAAGCTCTGAGGGTTTGATATCAGTAATAATTAAGTGTGGCATGGGTGCAAAAGTAAAATTTTAGGATTCTAGATGAGGGGTCCAAAGGGGACAAGATGGAGGAACACCCAGTGTTAATCCAACTACCACACTGCTCAAACCCTTGTGGCTTGGGATTCCTCACACAGAGTTGGCAGCTTTTCCCACGGGCTAAAATCGAAGCCACGGGTGTTTGTGACGTGGTGCCAGGGTGCCCGAGATCCCTGGCAGGGTCTGGGGACAGCCAGGGCAGCCAGGGGGATGTGCTGGGTTCCCACATTTCAGGGTGACACACGGGCACTTGAAGAAATCTAAAGATGTTTTTTTGAGTCCCGTTTGGGTTCCTTTTGGTCTCGCCCTGGCAGATATGTGATCAGCAGCCTGGAGCTGCTGGTGGCTGAGGATTACATGATCGTCTACCTGAACGGGGCCACGCCCCGCAGGAGGATGCCAGGCCTGGGCTGGCTGAAGAAATGCTACCAGATGATTGACAGAAGGTGAGAATCCTCCTGCTGGGGCCTCTCCAGCATCCCCAGGCCTCTTCAAAGGAAAATCAGGTGGTCTTCCTCAACAGGAACGAGTCTCACCCAGTCCCACATTCCTTACACCTACCAGGTGATGGAATGGACCTAAAAATCATCTCGTTCCATCCCCTGCCATGGGCAGAGACACCTTCCCCTATCCCAGGCTGCTCCAAGCCCACTCCAGGGATATTTGGGTTTCTAATGGCATTTCCAGAGAGCTGAGCAGAGCAGTGCTCCACATCCTGCTGAGCTGGGATCGGCTCCCCGAGGGGTTTTACCTGAGCTGAGGCTGGGCAGCAGCTGGCAGAGCCCAGCACAGCACAGGGCAGCTGAGGAAATGTCCCTGGAATGTGACACTCTGTCCCCTGGCTTGTCCCCAGGCTGAGGAAGAACCTCAAGGCCCTGATCATCGTGCACCCCTCGTGGTTCATCAGGACCGTGCTGGCCATCTCCAGACCCTTCATCAGGTGAGCCCAGCGGGGTTTGGGCTGGAGTTTGGAGTCACAGAGCCCATGGAGCATCCTCAGGTTGGAGGGATCCACAGGGACCATCCAGCCCAGCCCCTGGCCCTGCACAGGCGCCCCAACAATGCCAGCCTGTCCCAGAGCGGTGCCCAAGGGCTCCTGGAGCTCTGGCAGGGCTGGGAATGTGCCCACCACCCGCTGGGGGAAGAACATTTCCCTGAGCTCCATCCCAAATCCCTGAAATTCCCTGATCTCCATCCCAAACCCCAGAACCTTTCCCTGATCTCCATCCCCAGTCTCAGAACCTTTCCCTGATCTCCATCCCAAACCCCAGAACTTTCCCTGATCTCCATCCCAAACCCCAGAACCTTTCCCTGATCTCCATCCCAAACCCCAGAACCTTTCCCTGATCTCCATCCCAAACCCCCCTGGCACAGCCCCAGCCGTTCCTTGGGGTTTAATCTCACAAATCAGATTTTAAGCTCACCCTTAGCCAGGGGTGGCCGAGGTGGGGTTGTCACTTGTCCCACATCCCTCAGACACTTCCAGTGGCACCCCCAGAGGTGTTTTGGGAGCCCTGGGGTGGCAGTGCCCGTGTCTCTCTGCCTCTCTGCCAGTGTGAAGTTCATCAATAAGATCCAGTACGTGCACAGCCTGGAGGAGCTGGAGCAGCTGATCCCCATGGAGCACGTGCAGATCCCAGACTGCGTCCTCCAGTGAGTGCAGAGGGACCTGGCTGATAGCAAAAGGGTTTTAAAATCATGAGATTTAGGGTTAACAGGAAAAATAAGCTTAGTAGGCCTTGGAAAGATAAATACCTTTAGCACATGGAGAAATAGCACTGTACTATGGAACTAGTACATGATAATTGATATAATTGTTAGATGTGATAACTGTTTAGTAATTAAATATAATTACTGTTTAATCAGAAAGAATAATCATGTGAAACTGTGGTCATGGAGCTAAGAAAGATCACTATAAACTCATGTCAATGTATACAATAGAACAATGTGAGTTTAATAATTAATGTGTAAGTTATACAATGATAGGGTATAAAATACATTCGGCTCGAAAGCCATGGCGGAGTCAGATTTGGGTTTGCACCCCTGATTCCCAGAGCTCTCAGTAAAAGCACCTGCAGATAATCATATCTGTGATTATGTGTGTCCTGAACGCTGACACGGGGAGGGCCAGCACAGAATCCTGCCCGGGCTGGGACAAAATCCAGGATTGGGAAGGCAGAGCCGGGGCAAACCTGGGCTCAGCCTGGAAGAGCCTCAGACCTGTGGCAGCCTGGGGCTTCTCACCCTCAGCGAGCACCAAACGGGACCAAAAGGGAGCTGTGGCGTTTAAAGGGGGTTTTGTCTTTGTTGCAGATATGAAGAAGAGAGGATCAAGGCCAGAAAAGAAAGGTGAGATGGATTTGGGGAGGGATGGAGAGTGGCTCCTCTCCAAGGCCCATCATCACCCCAGAAGGGCTCTGGGGTCTCCCTCCTTCCCCAGGGGATGGATTCCCAATGGGATTTGTGTTTATAGGGCAGAGGAGAACAAAGACATGGCTGAGAGGGAAAGGTAAGGGCTCTGATTTATCCTTTCCTCTGATTTATCCTTTCCTCTGATTTATCCTTCCCTTGGAGAAGGATAAATCTTCTCTCTGGGGATGAGAAGGACCCCAAGGCTTGGGAGCACCCCTGGGATCCTCCAGGACATTCCCAGAGGGTTCAGGAGCTGCTAAAGGCTGGAGCTGTAGGGAAGGGGAATTCTGGAGGGGTTTGGAAGATAAAACCCCTGCTTCTGACCCTGACCAGAGTGACACAGCCTCTCTTCTTATCCTAATTCCTGAGGGGAGCAGGGGAAGAGCCACTGGATGAGGCTGAAGGATTCCAAGGAACATCCAGGAGCTCAGGGCAGAGGGGGGATTGGTTTGTGCTGGGGATTTATTATTTTATTATTTATTATTGCTAGGGATTTATTATTTTATCATTTATTATTGCTGGGGATTTATTATTTTATCATTTATTATTGCTGGGGATTTATTGTTTCATTCTTTTTCTCTTTGCAGCAGGCCTGTGCCCCCAGCAGAGGATCAGGAGACCAGGTTTGAGCTCTTTGTGTGTCTGGGACACAAATCCTGTGCCAGGAAAGCCCATGAAAGTTGTGACTGGCACCATCAGTGTCCCAAACATATTTTTGTGTGTGATTTCACCCAAATTCACTCCTTTTTTGTTGATGTGCTGGCAATAATAACATTTTTTACCTCAGTTTCCTGCCTGAAAATCCCTCCTGTCTCTTTTTTCTGCCCAGCATGTCCTGAGTGGGAGCAGCACGGAGGAATGGAGTAGGAGAAGGAGCAGCCTGGCACTCACCCACCTCAACGACCTTTGGGGACAAGACCTTGCCACCACCTTCTTCCAAGTCCTGTAAATCCTGGAGCCTCCTCTGCCTCCAAGATGCAAAGTCCTTTAACCTTTTGGGAATCACTTTTCTCTCTTTTTAAAAAAAAAAAAAAAGAAGAAGAAGAAGAAAAACAAAAACCAAACAAACCCCCCAAAAAATCAAAGCAAGAACAGCACTTTACAGGTTCTGGTGTGTTTAGGGAATGGTCTGTGGGGAGCATTGCCACGGTGCAAATACTCACGGTGTATCCTCGGAGTAAGTCAAGAGCATCCTCCAGCCCATGAATCTCCAGCCCAGAAAGAGAATTTATTGTTGGTTTTGATGACAAACCCTTTCCTTGGCTCGCTGCTGGCCAGTGAGGAGCCCTTTTGCTTTGAGCTGCACCTCCAAAATCTGCCACCCCTGGGAACAACCACCACAGGCAACGGGAAGAGCTTTTCCCTCCTTTTTTCCACTCAGTGCGAGTTTCCTCCTGAGGATTCCACGTGCCCACGGCCTCGGCAGCACTGCCAGCGTCCACCATCCTCCAGAACTCATCCCAGCAGGGAATCCTGTGCTTTTCCCATGGTTTTTTCCATCCTGGTGCAGGAGGGGCTCATCCAGCAGCATTCCCACATGGAATTCCCTCATGGAGAGGGCAGCAGGAATCCCTCCTGAAATTCCCTCAGAAGGGCCTCATCCAGCAGCATTCCCACCTGGAATTCCCTCATGGAGAGGGCAGCAGGAATCTCTCCTGAAATTCCCTCAGGACAGCCTCATCCAGCAGCATTCCCGCTTTCCTGAGCTCCCAGCTGTGTTTGGAGACAAACAGCAGCCAGGAATTCCCAAATTCCCACAGCAGAGCTGGGATCCCTTCCTCTGGGGGTGTCCCAGGGGCTGAACAGCCCACAGAGGTGAAGGGAGGATAAAATCTTTTAAAGTTTCTGATAAAATCAATTTTAAAGCTCACAAAGCTCCTCGTGGACCCAGAGGCTGGGACCTCACTGGGAACACTTCAAGCTGATTTTCCTTTTTTATTTTTTCCCTTTGTTTTTTATGGATTTTGTACATCAAAACAGGTTCAGAAATACTGCTGGGATGGAAGAGGTGGATGTGGGAGATAAGGAATCCAATCTCCTTTCCTGGGGGGCTCTGCATCCTCAGCAGTCTCCCCGCCAGAATGGAATTTGCTTTTTGGGCTGTTTCATTCCTTCCCAAAACCACTCTGTCTGCACTTCCAGGGGAAAAAAAATACAGAATTCCTCCTCAGAATGAGCAGATCTGACAATGAAGCTTCACATTTTTCCAAGTAATTCCTTCAGAGCAAGGGAATTTCAGCTGGGAAAAGGACAGATCCCAAATTTCCCTTCACGAGATGGGGGTGGGAGTTGTTTCCATACAAAAATCAATTTTTAACTTATTGGAAGGGATTTTTTGGGGTTTTTTTTTGTTTGTTTCAAAAAGTGCCCTTTTCATTTTCACAGTTTTATAAGCACGTAAAGTTTATGTTCATGGATGGATGGATGGATACATGGATTATGTTTTTGTCTTTTAACACAATGAAGAACCTGCAGCCCCATCAAGGAGAAATCAAAAATGTCAAAACTGCATTTTATAGCAGCCAAAAAAAAAATCATTAACTTATTTCAACCAGTGATTTCAGGCATTGATGGCAAAACTAAAAGCTACAAATTCTTGGACAAAAATAAATACAAAAAAACCAAAAAAGGTCCCTGTCCCAAAGGTGGAGTGACAAAACTCAGCTGGATGGGGAGAAATCTGCACTGCTGCTGGTGGAAGTGCGTTTCCAGTCGAACTTTGACCAGTATATAAATATATAAATATGTTTAAAGAAGAAAATGAAATAAATTCATCCCTTTAGCAATACTGCTGGACTGCTCAGTGTCCCAAGCGTGCCCAGGCCCCACAGAACCATCCCTGGAGGATCAAGATTTTCATTTCTGAATTCCCTGGATTCTGTTGAGCACTTTCTGGTCTGATTTGACTTTTTCCTGAGATTTTTCCTTCCCGCTGAATCCATGGGAAGTCACATTTTAGCTGCAGAAAAAGTTCTTTTATGCCCATCCTCACCGAAATCCTGGTGTTTTCACTCGTTGTGTGTTTAATGGCTGGACCTCAATTCACCCCACATCAGCCTGAAAAATCTAATTTCTTCCTGTTCAGCTCATCCCAGAGCAGGAATTCCCTTCCCCTCTCTTGGAGGATTTATGCCAGGCCCTCCTCAGCTCCAGGAATTCCATTTTCTGGTTTTTCCACCCAGATTTGGGACTGAGCGTGAATTTTTATTGTGGTTCACAAGGAACCAAACCAGGGGAAGAATTCATCCCAATTCTCTCTGTCCAGTGCTGTGTAAATGTCAGTGGATATTTAGAGCTTCCCTCATGGTCATTTTTCCATCTTTATTTCCCCACAGATGTGCAGAAAAAGTTTTTTAAAGGCAACAAATCCATTTTTTTAGAGGATTTCAAAAACCCAGAGTCAAGGAAAGGCTGGTGGTGATGAGCTGGGATGGGCCTGGAGCAGGAGAAAGGGACAAAAACCCACAAAAAGCACATTTTTCTCTTTTTTATTTCCTTCCTTCCTGGCAGCCAGAAACGCAGCAGGTTTTGGCTAAGTGGAGTTGAGAACTCACCATGACAATAAACCACAATCACAGGGGTTTTTTTTATTTTATTTTTGTTCCTTTCCAGCCCAACCCCAGCTGTACAAACGTGTGAAATGTCATTTTCTGCAGTGGTTGTAATTAGGTGGTTTGTGCTAGCGGACTCTTCATCTGTACCCTGAGCTTTGTATTATTCCATAAAATCTGTGGATATTCGATTAAAATGAGACTAATCCTTCAGCCAACCCTTCCTTCTGTCGGTAGATTTTATTTAGGATTTGGCTTCATGTGGAAAATATGAGGGAAATTTGTTGTTTGGATGTTGTTCCCCTGAAGAAAGGCCTCCCTGGAAATTCTGACACTGCAAAATTCCAAGTGTTTTTACTAAAATAACTCCTCTTCTGGAGGATTCTCTCCCAGTTTCCCTCAGCTTTAGGAAAGAGCCTAAAGAGCTTAGGAAAGAACCTTTCCCTGATCTCCATCCCAAATCCCAGAACCTTTCCCTGATCTCCATCCCCAATCCCCGATCTCCATCCTGAATCCCTGAACCTGTCCCTGATCTCCATCCCCAATCCCTGATCTCCTTCCCAAATCCCTGATCTCTTTCCCAAATCCCTGATCTCCATCCCAAATCCCTGAACCTTCCCTGATCTCCGTCCCCAATCCCCGATCTCCATCCCCAATCCCTGATCCCCATCCCCAAATCCCCGATCTCCGTTCCCAACCCCTGATCTCCATCCTGAATCCCTGAACCTGTCCCTGATCTCCATCCCCAATCCCTGATCTCCATCCCAAATCCCTGAACCTGTCCCTGATCTCCATCCCCAATCCCCGATCTCCATCCCCAATCCCTGATCTCCATCCCCAATCCCCGATCTCCATCCCAAATCCCCAATCTCCATCCCAAACCCCGTCACAGCCCCAGCCCTTCCTGGGCTCTTGCCCTGCCCGTGAGGTCCCTCCTGCCCTCCAGGACCCTTTTCCAGCTGATCCCACTTCCCAAAGCAGTGACACCCCGGTTATTTTTTCCCTTGTCCCAAATCCATGTGACACGTCCCCCAGGACCTGCTGGCACCGGGAATGTCACCCTGCTGTGGCAGCTCCTGGCTGGCATCTGCCCAAACCTCAGGGAATTAACTCTGCTCTTCCAGCAGCCTCATTTTCCTCCTCCTGGCTGCTCCATCTCTGGGTTCTGGGGGAATTCTCCTGTTTCCCTGCTCATTCCCACACGGGAAGATCCCCAGCCTTGGGGAAGGACCCTGAGTTCTCGGAATAATAAATAACCCCAAATTTCGCCAATCCCCAGTGAAAATAATTCCCATTTCTTGCCCCTGACGTCCTCTCCGGGCAGGAGGAACCTTGGTGTAACCTGGCTCATCCCATCAATGTTTTAGGATGAGTGGAGGATTAAAATTCTGAATTAAAGGTGCAGAAGAAATGAGTCACATTCTGCAGCAGAGACTAAACAATGCCAGGAATAATGTCCCGATGGCTCCAGGAATGTTAAACTGCCTCCTGCTAAATGCAGCTAAGTTTGAACAAAGAATATTAATGTGAACTTCCAGTAAACATTAGTATTCTAAAAATAACCTATGCAGAAGGAGCACAGCCTGTCTTTGATTCAGACTCCCCGGTGAATGGCATTTGGATGAGTAAAGTGTCAGGCAGATAACGTATCTCTGCCAGAAACAAACCCCAAAAAAAGGAAGTTTCAGGTGACCCATGAGCAGCTCGCCAGAAACGGGCTTAAAAAAAAAACAAAAAAAAAACCTTATTTGCATAACTAATTTTTTATTTTCTGGTTTTATGGTTTGGGGGACGTTTGGTGGAGCTGGGGAGTGCTGAAGGCTCCAGGTCTGGGTCGAGGTGGGGTTGGCTGGGAAGGAAGGAAGGGAAAAAAGGAGACAGCTGGAATGGGATCTCCAAATGTGGGAATCCAGAGCATCCCTGGGACCCTTCAGGGGTCAGGAACCCCCTGGACAGAGCCCCCAGAGACACTGGCTGTGATCTCTGTCCATGGAAAAGAGTTTTCAGTCTTACAGGATGAATTACCAGCTCTGAGTGTTTGATATAAGTAATAATTAAGTGTGGCACGGGTGCAAAAGTAAAATTTTAGGATTCTAGATTAGGGGTCCAAAGGGGACAAGATGGAGGAAATTGGGTGTGCCTTGTCCTTTTTCTCCTTCTTCATGCCCTCCATGTTTCACTGTGGTGTTGGCATTTTTCTGTTGGTTCAGGCTGGGGACACACTGTCCAACGTAGGTGACAGATATTGGCACGTTATTGTAAATCCAGCACAGGGAGTTTGTGGTATTTAATGTTTGTACCATCCCACTGAGGGCAGAGCCCCACACGCTGCCCTGCAGGACAGAGCTGCGGCAGGGCAGCAGAACATGTTAGAGATAAACAGAATAAACAACCTTGAAACCAGCAGAGATTAATTACAACTTCTTCTTTGGCAGTGGGGCAGAAAGACAGAGACTTTTACAATTTCGGGATCATCAATAGCTCAGATTCCGACATCCAAATACAGGCAGCACCTCCAGCAGCTCCCAGGCCAGGCAGGAATTTGGGAATTTCAGCTATGAGGGTGAATTCCAGCTCCCAGCACGGCTGGTGTCTGAGCAGGAATAGGGGAGAGAGAAAAATCTCCCCTAAAAACAAACTGGGGAAAGAGGAGCGCTGAGGGGCTGGGGGAAAAAAGGTTAAAAATGAGATTTTATACTGAAGAAAAGGAGCTTTTACACTGAGAAGTGAGATTTTTCAGCGAGGAGAAATGAGCTTTTACGTGAGGAGAAATGAGGCTTTACACTGAGGAGAAGGGAGCTTTTAAATGAGGAGAAATGATGCTTTCGACGGAGGAAAAATGAGCTTTTACATTGAGGAAAAGGAGCTTTTAAATGAGCTTTTACACCGAGGAGAAAAGAGCTTTTACAGTGGGGAAAGGAACTTTTAAATGAGCTTTTTCACTGAAAAGAAATGAGTTTTACACTGGCAGGAATGGGGTTTGAGTTTTAAAAAACCCCAAGAGCAGCAACAACCAGCCCCGTGTCCTTCAAGCCAGAAGAAACAGAAATGTTGAAATTCCTCGTGGAGATAGTGGGACACTGCCCTGGATTCCCTGATCCCAAACAATCCAGCCCTGCTGCTCCCACCACAATTCTCTGCTTTTTATGTATTATTATAAAATATAAATATAGATATAAATATAGATATAAATATAAATATGAATATAAATATAAATATAAAACATATATCATATAAAATATAAAGTATAAAGTATAAAATATAAAATATAGTCTATAATATATAATATCTCAATCTCATATATCATATATTGTATATTATATGTTATACGTCACACATTATATATTATATATTCTTTTGGAATATTAAATTATATATTGTATTATAATAGGATATATTATAATGTATATTATATGTTACATTTATTATAATATATATTATGTATATTCTAATCGAATATGATATTATATTATCTATAATACATAATAGATTATTTAATATACAATATATATTTATCTATTACATATAATGTTATATATTACATATATTACATATATTACATTATATAATATATTTCTATTTTATTCTATTACTATTTAATATTTATTATTTCATCATATCATTTATCATGTATTAATATTTCCCCTGAGCATAAGAACAGTGGGAACACTGGAATTAAGACTGGAAAAGCTCATTTGCTGTATTCCCATCCATAAATTCACCAGGTTCTCCCTTAAACCTGATTTCTTTTCTTACCTTCAATACCTTCCCTGCAAAACCTCCAGAATCTTGACCTCTGACAGTTCAAATTTCCCTCATTTGCATGTCATGTTTATTCATGAGCAGCTCATTTTAGCACTTGGCCTCGGCCTGGTGGCTGAGGAGCAGAAACAGCTTTGAAGAGAAAAATAACATTTTTATTTTTATTTTAGCTCAACGGACACAGCTGGGCTGAGACCAAGGAGGTTTGAGGCCACAAACCTTCGGGCCTGAACGAGAAAAATAAAAATTAAACACGGCTCAGCTCTGAATAAACGTTAATGGTGTCAGACATAATTGGAGGAAAAGTCTTTTGAAAATAATGGGGATATGAATAAAGATGGTGCCATGGGGGTATGACGAGGCAAAGGAGATGCCAGAACCCAAATGGAATGGAGGATCCTATATTTTATTAAATAGGGAATATCTGAAAATATATATTAAATATATATATAAATACACTAAAAATATATAATATCTATTAAATATATATGTGTATATAAGTGTATATATATGTGCATATATATTTAAAATATATTTAATATCTATTTTATGTATTTAATATTTAATATTTGATAATATACAAACCCATATATATCTATAGCTATATATACATATATGTATATATCTATATATACATATATATATATATATATATATATATATATATGTGTGTGTGTGTATTTTTTTTTTTTTTTTTCCTTCAAAAACTTCCCTTGGAATCCTGGATATTTCGATTTTACCCTGTAAAAGCTGAAGACCCCAAGGCAAAAATGTCAGCCAGGACCCCAAATACCCAAATTTGGCGTTACTGATTTTTTTACCATCCCTTTACTTTAATACTTTCAACAGTGACCTTTCAATCCTGCCACGCTGGAAGGAAGGACAAGGCAAAATGTCATTTAAAAATGCACATTATAAACTTCAAAAACTATTGTTGAAAAGCCTGACATTGCTCAGAGAACCCCAATTAAGAAACATCTGGAATAATTCAAATTAAAGCATAGGTTCCACAATGTGTAGAGTTAACTTACCTTAAAAAGCTTTATTTTATCTGAGTTAACTGGGGAGGAGGAGGCTCTCTGGAGAGATAATAGGTTAGGAATTTGTGTCTATTTACAAAAAATAAACTGTTCGAAAAATTCCTTGTAAAGAGACATTCCAGGAATATTCACTCCACATTCCTTTCTCTGAACAGCTTGACTGAAAAGGAAAACTAAATTTTCAAAAATTAAAATTAATTTTTAAAGGGAAAAAAAATTAATTATCTTTTGTTTGTTTGTTTGTTTTTCTAGGAGTTTAGAGAAAAATTAGAGAAAAATTCCCATTCCGCTCCTGGATGAGTTTAGATGGGAATTGGGGAATAAAGGAAAGGAGACAGCAAGGAAACAATCCCAACTTAATTATTTCCTCTGCGGCTCCCCGGCTCCAGAGGGGATGGTGGCTGGGTGACATTTCC